GAGCACAGTTGACACATGGCAGAGATGCGTGAGAGCAGCCTCGCTCTCAATCCTAGAAATCGACGGATTGTGAGCAGCACTCGAGTCCTCGCAATCGTAGCATCTCTGTGCGATCGCACCTACCTACGCTCGCAATCCTACATCTTCTAGGACTAAGCAAGAGCAGCTCCGTGGTCCGTCCGCTGGATTGAGAGCGAGGCTGCATGGTGCTCTCAATCCACTCCCTTTGCTGCCACTCATGTAAGCGTTGGGTCGCTTTTTTCACGAAGTCCCCGTGTGGCGTGTGGACCGACCCTCCGATTTCATGAGAAGAGAACAAAAGTGGTCCACCTTCGTTCGGGTACATATACATGACAAACAAAATCTCCAACCTGTCTGTGGACCAGGCGGCTGAGCGGCCGAGGCCTGAGGCGATGAGGCTGAGACCACGCGACCAAGCGGCATGCCGAGGTCCGAGGCAATGCGCGCGCCACGTCCTTTCTCTTGCACCAAAGGCCAATTGGCGGGAGAGAGGAAGCCGGTCGTGTCGGCTGCATCGAGCGGCGTGAGCGATCGAGCCGTCTCGTGTCGCCGAGCGGGCCCGGTCGCGCCTCTGGCACTGCACGCAGCGGCGGCGACGGACGCGATAGCAGCACTGGGCAGCACAACAGCACAGAAGCGACTGAGGGTAGCTACCGGCTCCCGCGACCGCTCAAAACGTGCGCTAAAAGCGCGAACGTCCGTTTGGGGGAGAGGAGTCGAGAGGTTTTTTCGTAGCGCCCGCCGGAGGCAGCGCGGGAAGCTGCGATGCGCGAGCCCAACGATACCAGCATGTTGCATGTCAAGAAGTGCGCGAACGTGCCCACGCGAGAGGGCTACAAGGTGCACGGTATCAACAACAACGAGGCCCGGCATCCCTGTCCTGCACACGGCGAGTCCTCCGTGTGGTTTGAGTGTACGTCTTGCGCGGACAAGCAAAAAGCCTATCGGTGCATTGGCTGCGTGATCAACACGGTTGACGCGTTTGAGGCGACCATCAAGGAGAAGACTAAGGGCGGCAACCCGCTCGCCGTGTTTGGACTGGCGGGCCTTTGCTGAACAAGGTTTTCCTCTCGCACCCCGTCTCTTTTCCTTTCCTTTTTTCTCTGCAGCACCCTCTCTTTTCCTCTCTATTTTCCCGGGGAAACCATCAAATTTTCCGGGCTCTGAGCCGAGTCTGAGGCTGGTTTGGGCCCAAAATCAGCCAAATCGGCAAAATACCGGGTATTTTGCGGGTATACCTGGAAAACCCCGGGTATACCTGGAAAATATCCTGCGACCGCCTGGGTATCGTGCCGATTTCCTCAATTTTGCGTCAGATTTTGCCCCAGACCAGCTCTCAGACTCAGGGAAACTCGCGAGTTTCCAGAATGGAGCACCAAACACCCTCTGTTTTCCCTGGAAATTTCCGGAAACGCAAAGTGCTGGGGACCCTCTGTTTTCCTTTTTGTTTGCCGGAAAAGCTTGTGCAGGCCAAGGCGGGCCCGGACGACGACCGTGCGCCAGGCCTTCGCGAGTTTGTGTCGCTTGCTCGCGCAAAGCTCCGCGAGCTGAGCAGACTGAAGAACCCACTCTTTTTCTGATCGGAAGAAAAAAGAGAGGAAAAGAGTAAAAATCTACGCGCTCAACTCGACGGTCACAGCGCGCTTGTCGCGCATGAGCTCCCGAGCGTAGAGTCGGTGGCTATGGTGCTCGGCGGTGGCGGCGAGCCTTGCTCCTTGTGCAAGCAGACGGTCTACCCGGCGGAGCTCATGACGACGGGACTCGGCCGCTTCCACTTCTCGTGCTTCAGGTGCACCAAATGCGCCCGCCAGCTCCAGCAGAGCACGTATTGCCAAGATGCCAAGACTGGACGTCTGTACTGCAAGCCACACTACTCGCAGCTCGCAGTCGCCGCCGGAATCCAGGCGGTGGCGGATGGCGGTGTGGACGCTTCTGCTGGAGTGCTCGTGCACCGAAAGACCAAGACGGCCGAGGAGATGGAGGTCGAGCTGGCGCTCGACGAGGGTGCCTTGGTTTGGGTTGAGCTTGGGATGGTGCCCGACGCGGTTTCGCTGCTCGGCGCAGACCTCGCCGATCCCTTCGTCGCATGCACGGTCGTCGGCCGGTCGGGCGAGGTCTTCACCGTGTCGTCTGGAGGCGGCGAGGCGGAAGTGCCGCGCCCCTGCGTGTGGCTGCGCGACCGCTCCTCGAGCGCAAACAATCTGCGCCTGCAGCACCTGAACGAGGCGAACCTCTTGGGGAATGTCCAGCGGAGGTTCGAGGCGCGGCACATCTACACGCAGACTGGAGCGCTCGAGCTCCTCGCTCTCAACCCTTACGCGCCGCTCTGCTCCTATGACGAGGATCAGATGGAGCGCTACCGCCGCGCGAGAGGAGCGCCGGTCGAGAGTGCGCCGGACGAGGCGCAGCAGTCCGAGGAGCCGCACATCTTTGGGGTCGCCGAGGAGATCTGGCGCGCGGTCAGCGAGGCCGAGGCCGAGGGAGCGTCGGCCGGCACGGAGAGCCGCAGCGTCGTTGTGAGCGGCGAGTCCGGCTCGGGCAAGACGGAGAGCAACCGGCAGCTCCTCTCGTACTTTCGTTGGCGCTCGACGGGGGGCGGCGACGGCGCGGCCGCCATCTCCCGCGTGCTCGCCCTGTCGGACGTCCTGCTCGAGAGCTTTGGCAACGCCTCGACGGTGAACAACCACAATTCGTCCCGGTTCGGCAAGTACCTCGCCGTCGATGTCGCGAGCAACGCGCTCGCCGGAGGCTCCTTCTCGACGTACCTTCTCGAGACCACGCGCCTCGTTAGGCGAGCCACCGGCGAGCGCAACTTTCACGGGCTCTACATGCTCTGCGCCGGCGCTGCCAAGCACAAGCGAGCCGCGCTGCGGCTGCGGGCGGCAAAGGAGCACTTCTACACTCTGGTGAGCAGCAGCGACAAGCAGCGCGAGGCGGCGGCGCCTCCGGACGCTCCGACGCGAATCGAGCGCCGTTTCGACGCGCTCGAGGACGCGCTCTCGCAACTCCGAGGCGTGAGGGCCGTCTCTGTCTGGCGAGTGGTGGCGGCCATCTTGCACTTGGGCGACATTCGCTTTCGAGGCGGCGGCGACGACCAGTCGACGGGAGCAGGCGACCAGTCGGCGATAGCGGACGACGCCGACGACGACGAGCCGGCGGCGGTCAGCGCGGCGGACGCACCGGCGCTGGCAGCGGCAGCGGAGCTGCTCGGCCTCAGCGACGACACGCTGCGGGAGAGGCTGACGTGTCGCTTCATGTCTGCGGGCCGAGAGGAGCTGACGGTGCCGCTGCAGCGCACGGGGGCACTCCGCGCGCGTGACGCTCTCGCGAAGGCACTCTACGCGGGGCTCTTCTCACGGCTCGTCGCAGAGCTCAACGCGCTCCTCCGACCCGACGGGCCTGCGAATGGTGGGCAGTACATCGGGCTCCTCGACATCTTTGGGTTTGAGAGCTTGGAGACCAACTCGCTCGAGCAGCTGCTCATCAACTATGCGAACGAGGCGCTGCACCACCTCTTCCTCCGCCACGTCTTCCGCGGCTTCTCCGACGAGGCCCTCGCCTCTGTCCTCGGCGACGCCTCGCGCATTGACAACCGTTGTTGCGTCGCGCTGATCGACGCGCCTCCAAAGGGGCTGCTGCACATCCTCGACCATCAGTGCAGGGCGCCGCAGGGCTCGGAGACGGCCTTCTGCCTCTCCGCCACTCAAAAGCACGAGGAGGACCCCTTCTTCACAGTGCCAAAGCTCTCGAGGGACTGCTCGCACGACGCCTCGAGCGCCTTTATTGTCCGCCACTTTGCGGCGGATGTGCTGTACACGAGCGGCGGCTTCCTCGAGTCGAACAACGACACGCTGGTCGGCGGGTCGCACTGGCTCCGCGCGTCGACCGAGCCGCTCGTCACGGAGCTCTTCGAGGAGGACAAGGCGGTGGCAGGCACTTTCTCCTCGGTGGGCGGCCGCTTTGCCGCCAACCTCAAGGAGCTGATGGCGCGCCTCCGCTCGACGCAGACCCACTTTGTCCGCTGCATGAAGAGCAACGGTGGCGCGCTGCCCCACACCTTTGACGCGCCCTACGTCAGGTCGCGCCTGCGCGCTGCCGGCTCCCTCACGGCGCTCCGCTTCGAGAGGCGACTGCAGCGCGGCGATGTTGTGGCCGAGGCTCCCTCGTCGTCGCCACAGCAACCACCGCTGCCGCCCTCGCCGCAACGCAAAATCGCCACGGAAACCCGCAAGCCGCCGACGTCTGCTTCGCCGCCAGCGCCAGCACGGCAAGCACCGCCGGCACCGTCACCGACTTCGCCAGCACAGCCGAAGTCTCCATCGCCGCCGCCGCCGCCGCCGCCGCCGCCGCCACAGCCGCCGCCGCCGCCACAGCCGCCACAGCCGCCACAGCCGCCATCGCTACAGCCGCAGCCCTCACAGCCGCCGCCGCCGCCGCCGTCTGCTGCTGCTGAGCCGTCGGCTGCAGCCGCGAAGCAGCCTTCTTCCCTTATGGACGCGTCTGCCTCTCCTCACCGCTCGCAGTTGCCGCAGGCACGCGCTCCGCGACCGGCTGCCGAAGCTAGCCACGCCGCGCGGAATAGGCCTGACGAGAGCAGGCTGCGCGCCCCTCGCGCCGCGCGGCCTACTGCAGAAGCGGCCTGCTGCGGCGCTCGCGAGTCGGCGCCGGCGCCGTCCCCGGCAAGGGATACGCGCGGAGGCGTCGCTTGCTCGAGTCGCCAGCGAGACGAGCCGCGGATCGAGCTGAGCGCGCAGAGCGCTGGCGAGGCCAGCCTCGCGCGGCACCTGCTGAAGCTGGCCGCCCTCGGCGGCTCGGAGCACGCGGGCGTGGCGACGGGGCTCCTGCGCTCCCTGCTCGGCGCGGCCGACGTGGTCGGCGCGCCGTGCGTGAGGCGCGCGGCGGCTCGCGCGCTTGGCCGCCTCGGCGACGTGGTCGGCTTGCGCGACGCGGCGATGGCGTGCCGCGACGTGGAGGTGCGCATGGAGGCGATCGAGCAGCTCGGTGGCATGTGGGAGGAGGCCGAGGCGGTCGCCGGCGCGGCCGAGGCGGCGCCGGTTGAGGCTATCGCGGTGCTCCACAGCCGCGGCCTGAGCGACAGCTCGGCTGGCGTGCGCGGCGCGGCCATCGAGTGGCTCGGCCGCAGCGGCAACGTCGGGATGCTCTCGGACGCGCTCGACGACCCCGCCGTGCCCAACCGGATGCGCACCGTGGCGCTGCTGGCGAGCCTTCAGCAGCCGCGGCGGCTCCTCCCCGCGCTGCGCGACGCAGAGCCGCGAGTGCGCTTGGCCGCCGTCCACGGTTGCGACAGGCTCGCCGACGAGATCATCCGAGGCGAGGCCGACGGCTCGGACTTGCGCGGCGAGGCGATGGAGGCGCTCATGGGCCTGCTCTCCGACTCGGACCGGCCCGTGCGCCACGCGGCCGCCGCCGCCTTGGGCCGGCTTGGCGACCGGCACTGGCAGGCTGCCTTCCCGCAGCGGGACGGCCCTCCCTCGTTTGAGGCGCTCTCCGAGTCCCCGCGGCCCGAGGTGCTCACCCTGCTGATCGACCTGCTCACCGTCGCCCTCCCCGAGGACCGGCGGCTGGCGGCGCAGCTCCTCGGTCTCAACCGGCTAAACGCAACCTCGTGGACGCTGAGCGAGCGTGCCTGCGCTGGGCTGCGCGTCCTCGCGCGCGACCCCGACGCGACGGTCCGCGTGCAGGCCCTCCACTCCCTCGGCGAGGGGCGCGACGCGGGATCGCTCGCGACGGTGATTGGGTCTCTCGCGGACTCGTCGACCAAGGTTCGACACGCTGCGGCACTCGCCGCCGGTAAGATTGGCGACCCGCGCGCCCAGCAGGTCCTCGTGCGGGTACTGACGCGCCGGGAGGACGTGACGGTGCAGGCGGCGGTCTGCGCGGCGCTCCACCGGCTCGAGTGCAGCGCCGGCTCCCTCGCCGCGCTGGTCGCCGCGCTGCTGCGCTCCTCGGGCGACGGGCTGGAGCCACTGCAGCGCGGTGCAGTCGCCGCCCTGTCGCGCTGGTCCGACCCGGCCGCGGTCCTCGCCGCCTTTCGGCAGGCGGTCGCGCCGCTGCCACACGGGCGAAGGCCCCTACCCCGCCGCCCTCCCACCCCGTGCGCCCTCCCGCCCTCCCGCCTCGCAGTCCTCCGTCCTCGGTCGCGCGACGACGCGGACGCCCGATGTGCGTGCCGCGGCGTGCGAGGTGCTCGGCCACCTCTTTGGCGCAGCGTCCTCGGCGGAGCACGGCGGCAGCGGCGGCCCGCCGCCCGCGCCCATCAGCAGGAGCGGCAGCTCGTCCTCGCTGCTTTGGCGTTCCTTCTCGCCCCGACCGCCGCAGGCCGGCGCCGAGCGGGCCGCGGCCCACGCGATGCTCGCTTCGCTCCTCGGCGATGCGGACGAGACGGTCCGGCTGCAGGCCACCGCCGCCATCGGCAAGATTGCCCTCCCGAAGGCCGTCTCGCCCCTGGTGCCGATGCTGCGCGACCCCGCGCCCGGCGTGGTGGACGAGGCACGAGGGGCCCTCCTCCGCCTCGACTGGAGCGGCCTGCTGCGGCCCGGGGAGGCGGTCCTCCTCTCGGGCCCGTGCCTGAGGCAGACCACCAGCCTCGTGGGGCACGTCTCGATGCAGACCTCGATGCTTGTCCTGTGCGACAGCGGCAGGCTCTTCTGCGTCGACGCCAAGGCGCGTGCGGCCGGCGTCGCTCCTCCGACGCACGCCTCTCCAGGCCACTCAGCGAGCCGCCCTCCGCCCGCCGCTTGCCCGCAGGAGCCGCTCGCCGACACGGAGGTGGAGCTCGACCAGCGCAGCAGCGCAGCCGCGCCGGGCGTGTTGGCGCTGGTGGGCGAGGGGCGGCCGCTGCCGGTGCAGCCAGTGCTGCAGAGGCCCGAGGAGTGGGTGCGCGCCGTCCACGGGCGGAGGCGTGCCGCCGTGTCTGCGGAGACGCGGAGGCGGCGCGCCGATTCGCGCCTCCAACAGGAGGCGCCCGCCGCCGCCCGCAGCCCGGGGCTCCAGGTCGGGTGGCGCCGGAGCGACGGCTGAGCTTTGATCTTGCGTGTACGTACGTACTTCTAGCCACTGTCTGGGAGAAGAGGGAGAGGGGGTTGTGTTCTCTAGGCCCCTAAGGGCCCGACGCGCGGGAGCTAAGAACTAAGAAGCGGGACCCAGCCGGTTTTTGTGGCTTTTTGGACGGCTTTTTTGGATTCTCCCGCCCTCCCACAGGTCCCACTCCTCTCTTGGATTTTTCAGTTAGTTAGTTAGGAAAGGTGAAAGAACACCAGACTGAACACCAGCGCGGTATGGGTGGACGCAAGACAGGAGATGCCCGTCCCGAGGAAGGGGACGACCTGCGCTTCGAGCTGTAGCGACCTGCGCTTGGGGAGCTGTAAGAAAAATTCGCCGTCTAAAAGTTCCGCGATTCCGAGGGCGCGAACGGCGAGGGGCGAGGGGAATGTCGTCTCGTGCTGGTTTGTAGGACGCCATGCCACGCCAGCCTCCCCGCGAATCATCCTCCCTTCTGACGTGCAAGTCGTGGCTGGCGGACCTCCTCAGCTGGGACGCGCGGACGCTGCTCGAGAGCGTGGAGCCGGAGCGGGCGCTCTTCCCAACGCTGCCTCCCCCGCTCACGGATACCTACCTGCGGCCCGCGGACTACCTGCGCCTCCTCTCCGCGCACCAGCTGCTGGAGATTGCCGCCTCTCTCGCGTCAGACGCGCGCAGCAACTCGGCGGCGCCGCTGCACGGCGTTGTCCAGCACGCCGCCGCCGCCGACGAGCATGCTGCCGACATCTTCGTAAGCCTCGAGGTGAAGCCGGAGCCGGGCGTCATCGGCGCCGAGGACGCGCTTGTGGTGGAGCGCGTGGCCGAGGCGTGGGAGTCGGGCTCGGGCGGCAGCTGCCTCGCGCTCGCGCTCGCAGAGGTGTCTGGCGCGGGCCTCTGGCTGCGCGTGCGGCGGCGGCGGCCAGAGGCCTGCCCGGTGGGCACGCGGGTCGTGGTGCGGCGTCTTGGCACGCTCCTTCCTGCGCTACGGATGCAGGCGGCGCTGATCGGGCACCTGTCCGCGCCTCGCTGGCTGCTCGGCTGCCGAGTGGCAAAGGCCCCCTCGTCGGCGACCTCGGCGTTTGAGGCGGCGATGGAGGCGGCGGCGGCGAGGAAGGCGGGCCAGTCACCCCTAGCGCGCGCGCCGAGCGGGAAAGCGGCGGCCCCGCTTCAGCTGCCCTCCGGGCTCGATGCCGTCCTGTCCGCTCCCGGACCCCATGGCTGCAACGCCGTCCAGCGAGAGGCGGTCCGCGCGCTCGCCGCGCCACGGCAAGGCTTCGCGCTGCTGCAGGGGCCGCCTGGCACCGGCAAGACCAAGGTGGTGCTCAGCCTCCTCTCCGCCCTCTTCGCGACCCGGAGGCGGCCGCAAAAGGTTGCGATGCCCGGCTCGGGCGCGGGCGGCGGTCGCACGAGGGTGCGGCTGCTCGTGTGCGCCCCCTCCAACTGCGCGGTCGATGAGATCGTGGCGCGAGTGCTGCGGCTCGGGCTGGTCGATACAGACGGCAAGGTTTGGCAGCCGACGATCGTGCGGCTCGGGCCGCGCGACTCGGTGAGCGAGGGGAGCGCCGCGTGCCACTTGGAGACGAAAATGCAGGCGCGAGCCGCCCAGGAGGCGAGGTCTGCGCGCAGCGGCGGCCGCGACGACGGAAGGGTGGCGGTGCTGCGCGAGGCAGACATCGTCTGTTGCACGCTCGTGGGTGCGGGCGTGGACTCGCTTTCAGCGCTCGCGGACGGGGCGGGCGAGGGCGCCGGCAAGATCTTCGACGCGGTGGTGGTCGACGAGGCGACGCAGAGCTGCGAGGCGGCGCTGCTCGTCGCGCTGCAGCACGTCCACAGCCTGGCGATCCTCGTCGGCGACCACAAGCAGCTGCCCCCGACAACCAAGAGCATGCTCGCAGAGAAGGGCGGCCTCTCCGTCTCGCTCTTCGAGCGGCTGCTCGCCTGCGGCCACGCCGTGCACCGCCTCACGACGCAGTATCGGATGCACCCCGCCATCGCCGAGCTCCCGTCCCGCCTCTTTTACGAGTCGGCCCTCGTCACTGCACAGTCCGCCGCGAGCGGCCAGGCGCCCCCCTCCTTCCCGTGGCCCTCCGCTGCCACGCCGGCCGCTTTCCTCGACGTCCGCTCGCGCGAGGCGCGCGACGGACAGTCGCACAGCAACGTGGGCGAGGTGGAGGCCGTCGTCGCCGTCGTCGACCGGCTGCGCGCGGGCGGCGTGAGCCTCGAGTCGGTCGGTGTGATCACGTTCTACGCGGGCCAGTCGCGGCTGCTGCGCCGGCGGCTGCCGCGCTCCGTCGAGTGCAACACGGTCGACGCGTTTCAGGGCCGCGAGAAGGACATCGTGATCCTCTCGTGCGTGCGCGCCAACGAGGGATGCCGCTGCGGCTTCTTGAGCGACGCGCGGCGCGCCAATGTGTCGCTGACTCGCGCGCGGCACGGCCTCATCGTCGTGGGACACGCGCAGACGCTGCAAGCGGACCAGACATGGGGCGAGTACCTCCGCTGGGCCAGGGGGCGATCCCTCGTCCTCGACGACTGGCAGACGGCGCTGAAGGCGGAAGGCAACGCGAAGCGGCGCGAGGGCGGTGGCAAGGTCGAGCGGCGGGACGGGGCAAAGAAGAGGCGCGGCGACAAGCAGAAGAAGGCGGCGAAGGAGAATGGGCCGCATTCCGCGAGCGGGCAGCAGTAGGCAGCTGTTTTCAAAACCCAAGGGCAAGGCCCAATAAATAAATAACGAAAACGGCCACACCTCTACTGTGAGGTGAATAAAAAAGGCACAGCCACAGGTCCCCGCCCGTGCGATATCTTTTCCGATTTCCCCACCCGCTTTGCAGGGGATTTTGCAAAAAAGGCGACGAAAAGCGAGCTGCGAGGGTGGAGAGCCCGGCGCACGCGGGGGCGCATCGCGGCGGCCAACACGCGGCGCGCTAGCTGCGAAGCTGCGAGAGGGCTGGGCACTCTCCACTGCTAAGGCTGGGCATATACCATATAGCGCACAGGGGATCTCTCGCGCTTAAGGTCCTCCATGCCGTTTTCGGGGGGGCAGGGTTTGCCCCCCACAACTGGCCCGAAGGACCTTAAGGATACGCACTCGCGAATCGGCGGCACTAGCTAGGGCACGAGGCTCGAGGGCAAGGGGCTGGGCAGCCTCTCCTACTGGTGCTCTGCCCTCTCGGGGAGGCCTCGACCATCCCGCCGGCCAAGTTCTCCCATTCGAACGGACAAGAAAAACTGCGGGCTTGCAACAACATCGGCCGCCTCTTACTAACCCCTCTCTGTGGCAGCGAGCGAAGTGGGCGAAGCGCTAGTTCCGAGTAGCCGAGTGTTGATGGCCAGGAGAACTCCGAGCCCGCGGGACTGCTGGATGTCCATTTTGAGGGTCTGCACTTGCTGTGTCGACGACCGCGATATTGACGTGCCGTCGCAGTCCCTCCTGCCGCCCGCGCAGCAGAACACGCACTCCGTCGAGCGCTCCGCGCCAACAGAGGACGGCTCCGCACCAGCCCCGACCGCTGCGCCCGCCACCGCGCGCAGCCCGAGCGCCGCGCCGAAGGGCGACCCGCTCGCCGGGACCGTTCCAGCCTCATCCACCGTCGACTCGCTCGAGTCGTACAACGCGATGCTCGGCTCGCTCGCGTCGGCGGGCGAGATCGCCCGGCCCGCCTCGGTGGCGGCCGAGGATCTCAACGTCGAAGTCTGCGCCGTGTGCTGCTCCGACATAGTGCTGGGCCCTCAGTCGGCCATCAAGCTGATGAGCATTCCTCCCGGGGACGCGCCTCGCCACTTCGACTGCGGGCACGTGCTGCACGCAGACTGCTTCGCGGTGTACATCTGCTCGCATGGGCACGCCTGTCCGATCTGCAAGCTCGACCCTTCGCGAGGGGCCGACTCGCCGGTGCGCGGGGCGGGCTGCGACGGCGCCGCAGGGACGGACGCGGGAGCGGGCGGTGCTGGTGCGGAGGGGGGCGAGGAGCGAGACGATAGCGAGCTGGGCGAGGACGAGTGGGCGCTGCAGGAGGAGCGCGACGTGCAAGCGTCGATAGCCGCCTCTTTGCGAGCAGAGGTGTGAGCGCTAGCGGGCCCCGGGGCGGCGCGGGGGCGGGCGCCCGTGCGCCGATTCGGCGGCGGTAAGCCTCTCTCCTCTGTAAGAGCCGCGGGCGTTGGCTCGGCGGGACGACCCGATGGGCGGCCTGCGACGAGCGATCGGGCTTTTTTCCCCCGGGGCGCGCGCTCAGAGAAGACTGTGCGCCGTGCGCCGCACGTGCGCGCAAACACTCTGAGGTGTCAGTGTATAATACGGTACTTACTTAGCGTAGTGTGCGATTGATGTGCTTATGCGGCCGGCGGGATCTGGCGGGCCCAGCCCACAGTAATCGGGCTTTTGCGATTTCCGTCTCGCTCTCGCTCGTCGCTGCTGTGAATCCGAGGCAGCCCGCCCCCCTCATCGCAGCGAACTATAAGGTACACACGTATTCAACTCGAGCAGTATCTCCGGACTGCTGTCTCATGCAGCAGCCACGTCCCGCGTGCCGCCGGTTCATCGTTTGCCGCGCCGCTTCTTGCTGCCGGGCTCCTCGCTGCTGACGGGCTTGTCGCCCTTCGATGCGCTCCCCTCTGTGCGGGGCGGGGCGGCAGGGTCACGTGGCGGGGGCGGTGCGACACGGGCGCGCGACGCGGTGGGCGGAGCACACGCGGGCGGCGCTCGCCGCGGCGCTCGGTCGCGCCTGCTCCCTCTGCGGCGTCAGCCTCCGGGTCCCTCCCGCACATTCTGGTGATGAAGATGTTGTTGAGCTTCTCTATCCGCTTTAGATCCTGCTGCTGGTCCGTCTGGTACTGCAAGCACTGCGGAGGAGCGGGCAGCGGGAGCGGGGGTTGGCGGCGGTGTGCGCAACCACGCAGCCAGGCGCACGAGAGGCGGCGCTCTCACCACGCGGTCGTTGGTGACCTTGAGCAGGACCTTGCCGTCGGTGTGGCGGTACTTGAGCGAGTAGCGCGTCTGCGAGCGAGCGCGCGCGGCGTGTGAGTTCTCAGAGCCTCGTCGGAGGCGGGTGTGGCACCAGTGTCGGCGCACATGGGCCGGGTGATCGAGGTACAGCTTCTCCGCTTCGGCGTAGAAGGTGTCCCAGTCCTCGATGTATACCCTACGGGACGACGACGGGACTCAGCAAAGCTTGCGACCAGCTGCACGCGCCGCCAACACGTGCGCACATGCGGTTGTCGCCGGCGAGGCTGGCGACGGGAACACCTCCTCCTCGCGGGTCTGAAGGCCAAGAAACCAGGTTCGTTGTGAAGAGCTGGGGCGCGCCACCCAAGTGCCAAGAGCCTAGGTAGGTGCGGATCGGCAAGAGCGCAATCGATCTTTTTGCCCTCTATCACCTTGGGTTGTAAGAACTTGAAACACACCACGCAGGGGCACAGCAAGCACGGATAGCCGTTGAGGAGAAAGGGCGTAAGGTGTATGCGCGCCACCTCCCGCGAGCGCGGCGGGATCGGAATTGCGGCCGGAGGGAAGGGCGAGCCGCCGCCGCCGCCGCCATATACCATCAGCGACGACGACCGCGGCTCGCCCCAAACGCCAGGCGCTGGATCGGCAGTAGGGCTTGGGCGGCGCAGCGTAGGCCTCGAGCCACACGAGTCGCCGACAACCCCCCCTCATCGACGTGATGGCCGCACCCGCTGCCGGCCGATGCAAGCTGCCGCCTCCACCGCACCAGCGACACTGGCCGCGGCTCGCCGCCACGCGCCGGCTCGGAAGAGGGGCTATCGGCGGCGCAGCAGAGCGGCATGCGTCGTCATTCGAGCAGCACCAGGTCCCCTCTTCGACGTGACGGCCGCTCCCGGAGCCGGCCGGTGCGCGCCCGACCCACGCCCCTTCTCGCACCCCCCCGATCCCCCTGCGGCTGCGCGGCGCCCCCTCCACTGCGCACCGGCTCGAGCGCCTATTGCCAAATCGCGACTTTCGAGCGCAGTGCGTGCGCCCCACACGTCACGCGAGCGCAGACAGCGCAGGAGAGTTTGCGGCAGAGCAGTACCGTGTACTAGCCGGAGGCATCGCGCCGAAAAGTCCGCGCATTCCGCCCCAACAGAGGCTGCAGGAGGCAGATGGCCAATAGCGACGATCGTTACGAAATGTAGCCTTACCGGGAGCTCTCCAAGCTGTCTTGGGTGGTAAGAAAATCGTGCGGCGCTTTCTCTTCTGAGGCGCCACTGCTCGTCGTGTGCGGCGCGTGTTGCGGCGAGGCACGCTTCACTCCCGCATGCCGCCCAGGAGACGATCTCCTCCGGCGGTGTTGGCGCTCCGCGTGGTGCTGGTGGGGCTGGTGCTCGCGCCGTGCGCGGCGGCCGGCTTCGAGGACTTTTTCCAGCAGCAGGCGGCGGCCGGCGGCGGCGGTGGCGCCCGCGAGACCGAGTACTACGACCGACTCGGAGTGGACCCGGGCTGCTCCGAGGCGGAGCTGAAGCGTGCGTACAAGCGCAAGTCGCTCGCGGCCCACCCCGACCGCGGCGGCTCGGAGGAGACCTTCAAGGAGCTGAACGAGGCGTACCAGGTGCTGTCCGACCCGCAGAAGCGGGAGGTGTACGACCGGCACGGCAAGGCGGCGGTGGACGGCTCGGCGCCGGGCGGCGCGGGCGGCGGCGGCGGCGGCTTTGGCGGCTTCCCGGGCGGCTTCCCGGGCGGCTTTGGCGGCGGCGGCTTTGCGGGCGGCTTTGGCGGCGGCGGCGTCGACATGCAGGACCTCTTCCAGCAGCTGTTCCGGCGGCAGCAGATGCGGGTGGTGCAGGTGGAGCTGTCGCTCGAGGAGCTCTACTCGGGCGCGACAAAGACGTACGCCTTCTCCGACCCGCGCACCGGCGAGCGCCGCGAGGTTCGCGTGCGCATCGAGCCGGGGATGGAGCCGGGCACGCGCCTGCCGGTGCCGGGCACAAACATGGTCTTCCAGCTGGCGGAGCGGAGGCACGCGCGGTTCGAGCGGCACGGCGACAACCTGCACATGCCCCTCTCCCTCTCCCTCTACGAGGCGCTCACCGGCTTCCAACGGCCGATCAAGCACCTCGACGGCAGGCGGCTCTGGGTCTCGGCGGAGCGGGAGGCGACGCGGCCCGGCGTGGTGCGGGGGCTGGCGCTAGGGGGGGCGGGGGCGGGGAGGGGAGCACTCTCGTCAGGTGGCCGTGGACCCGCGTAGGTGCGGAGGCTGCGCGGCGCGGGCATGCCGCGGTTCCAGGCCGCAGGCAAGGGCGACCTGCTCGTCCACTTTGACGTCCGTTTCCCCTCCTCGCCGCTGCGCGGCAGCGCCGCCGCGACGCTCAAGACGCTGCTCAAGGGCTCCGCGGGAACCGCGTCGCCCGTGCCCCCCGCGGGCGAGAGGACGCACGCGCTCGAGCTGCTGGCGACACGCGAGGAGGAGCGGCAGGGTGGCGGCGGCGACGACTTTTTCTGAGTCGGTGAGGGCCGCGGAGGCGTGGGTGATGCTGGTGGGCTCGCCGGCGTGTTTTGGGGGCGAAGAAAATGAAGAAAAACCCATGAGAGGAACCGCCACCACACAGAAAAATAAACAAAAAGTTCGCGCGATGAGCGACACGCACGAACCCGAGCGCCGAGGGCTCTCTGCGCTCTGCCTCTGGGCCGGCGCGGGGGCCTCAGAGGGTGTCCATGGGGGGGGGGGGGGTCCCATGGCCCGCCGCAGGCGCCGATTTTTCGAGACTTTTTCTTTTTTGGTTTTTGCTTGTTTTCATTTGGGAATTCGGCGTACTTGCGGCCATGCTAAAGCCGTATCACGCCTTGCGACAGCCTGTGTGTGCCTGTCGGCGCTGCTGACCGTGCCATGATGCACAATTGATGCATAGCTCGCGGCTTTAGTATCAAGCATTCAGTGACGACCTGATCGTACGGCCAGTAGGAAGGTGTCCTTCCAGCTGCGTGCACGCTTCTGACGCAATGCGCGTCGCCTCGGATTGGCTGCTGGCACTCTCGAGGCTATGCCTACACAGCCTCGCGCGCATGGGCAGTCAAGAGGGACCACGCACCTTCTCAGGACAGCGCCGGTGCCTCTCTCTTGGACCGGCAAACGTGGTGGTCTCGTGTCACCAATGTGGGACCAGTGCGGCATCGCGCCATCGACAGCTCTGAACTGCGCCTCACCACTGACCGGGAAGGCCACCAAGTGGGCCAGCACAGGTCGCACATTGTGGCAGCAGTCAGCAGTGCATGGCTGATAGCTAGAGCAGCAGCGTCAGGGTCGCAGGGCCGGATCGTGTCAAGCCTCTCGCCCGGCCGGCCGCGTGCAGACGTCGGCCTGTCTGCTATCTATGAGTGAAAAAAGTTTGGGTTGTGTTTTTGTGAAAAAGTGACCGGTACGGCCTCCGAGTCGGCGTCTAGCGCGCGCGATAAGGTTTTTGCTCGCCTTCCCTGGGACCCCGTGTTGCGTGGACTGTCTGTTAAATGAGCTCGGGGGTGTAATATGTCTACGAGTTGCTAGACTGCGGTCTTCGACCATCTGAGCCCCCCCCCTTCCTCCTGCGCTCCCCCGCCTCAAGCTCCCCCCCCCCCCCCTCCTCCCCGCCCCCCGCCCCCCCTTCTCCTCTTCTCCCCTTCCGTCCGTCTCAGCTCCCGACTCATCCCTCTCTCGCCATCCCCTGCAGGCGCAGGGGAGATGCGAAACGAAGACTGATGCCCATCCCGGAGTGGTTCGACCCCACGCAAACCCGAGACGGTGACGGGCGCTGTCTCGGTGATCTCAGGCCCAGTGAGGTAGTGCACCAGACCTGTCCCGGATCCTGCTGAACAAGTTCCTCTTGTAGCTCGATCGGTCACACCGTCATCGCCGCCGACGTCTCCCAGTGAGATGATGAAGAGGGGGGACGACACTGCTCGATCTACCCTCTGGGGTCCCTCAGCAGCGTGCACCTCGATCCTGTACCGTGTTTGTTATGACCCTCCCCAATGAACACTCCAGTGAGGGTGGGCGAGACGATCGAGGGGTCCCGTACCATGCGGAATCGACCCTATCCGGTGCTCAAGTGCTCAAGCTCGGGGGCACGGGACGCGGCACAAACGGGGCACAAACGCCAGGCTACAAAGACGGGGAGGCACGTAGTGACGCAGGGGTCGTGACTGTCTCTGTGCGATTTCGGGCCCGGCGTTGTGCGTTTATGTGAACGCGCAGAACATCAACAACGGTCAACGCTGCTCGCAACATGCGTGTCGCGCACTCATTCATGACCGGTCTCAATGCCCCACCCCCCCTGCGCGCGGGCCTTCTAGGCCCGCGGGTAGTCTCCCCCCATCCCCAGGGCCTCCAGGGCTCGCACCTCAACCTCTCACAGACCAGCGGACGCGCAAGCGTTTAGGTAGGTAGGTAGGAAGGTGAAGAATCCACGTGTTTTCTTCTCAACAAGGCTGTGAAAAAGTGTGGCGTGCTCTGTTCTCGCCCTCCCAGGGCTGGGCATTGGAGAGTCTCGATGTCCTACGGCGGCTACGATGGAGGTGGCGGCGGCTACGGCGGCGGCGGCGGCGGCGGCTACGGTGGCGGCGGCTACGGCGGCGGCGGCGGCGGCGGCGGCGCGCAAGGCGCCGTGCGCCCTGGCGACTGGACCTGCCCGAGCTGCAACGCCAACGTATTTGCCTCCAAGATGGCCTGCTTCCGCTGCCAGACGCCAAAGCCGGGCGGCGAGGGTGGCGGCGGCGGCGGGTACGGCGGCGGCGGGTACGGCGGAGGGGGCACCAACGTCAGACCGGGCGACTGGACCTGCCCGCAGTGCAATTCGAACGTCTTTGCCTCCAAGACGAACTGTTACCGCTGCGACACGCCAAAGCCGGGGGGCGGCGGCGGCGGAGGAGGCTACGGTGGCGGTGGCGGCGACAGGTATGGCGGCGACCGGTATGGCGGAGGCAACCGCAGCGGCTACGGAGGCGGCGATCGCTATGCTGATCGCGGGTACGGCGACCGCGACCGCGGCGACCGCGGCGACCGCGGCGATCGTGGCGGCGGCGATCGCGGCGGGTACGGCGACCGCGGCGACCGTGGGGAGCGCCACAAGAGCTCTGGAGACGAATTTCGCGGCGACTTCTCGTGCGTGCGCTCTCCCTCACACTTCGCCCTCTCCCCCTCTGGCTGATTCCCGTTCCCGTCGCCGCAGCGCCATGATATCCAAGCCGCGCGACCGCTCTCGTAGCCGCTCGCGCTCGCGCGACCGCAAGCGCTCCCGCGACCGAGGCCGCGAAGATCGCGCTGAGGCCTAGAGCTCGCGCCTGCATGCGACCGAGGCTGCTTGGCGCGTGTCCCCCACCCTCCCCATGCGCGCTCCCCCTCATGTACAAGGGGCACGGCACACGCACAGGCCGGCGGCAGGGGCGAGGGGGGTATAACGTAACCCGGTTCTGCTCGCCGCAATTTGCATTATGGCATACACCTTCACGTATATGGAGGGACCCCCCACATGCATGTGTTCGCATCTGCGATCTGTGGTGTGTCTCTACGCGCGGCAGCGCGCGCTCCCCGCAGCGCGGCCGCGCTTCAGGCTTCAGCGCGCGTGGTTTGCCGTCTTCGCTTTAAACTAATAACTCTCCACTAGCACAATTCCAGCTAGACGCACGGGGGCCGAAGAGCGACGATACGTCACAGACCGCGAGATTACACGAAAAATGAGTCTACAGACGCTGAAGCTCCGAGCCACGGCATAAGGAGGGCTCGGTGGCGCGCTGTCCGTCCCGTGGACACGGTAGCAATGGTCCCAGCCCGAGCTAGCCCAGGGCGGGAACTCCGTCGTCTCCAGTTGGTCGGGCTGGGACCATTGCTGCACGACAAGAGGAAAGTAAGGGCCTACTCCGTCAGCATGGCCCCGCTAGTGGCCTCAATCGGGCTCTCTCGGCCCTGCTGATCGCGACCGGCATGGAGCAGGCGGAGGTCGCCCGCCTCGCTCGGCTGCGGCGGCGTCCCCTTCTTCGTACTGCGGTCCTCGAGGTCGATGGCCACCTCGTCTCGTCGCATCTGCCGCTCGCGCTCGAGGAGCGGGTGCATGACCAAGACGTCGGTCCTGTATCCGGGGCGAGGCGCGGTGATCGGGCTTCGGCGGCGGTTCTGTGCGGGCACGAGCAGCGGCGCCTGGGCTCCATGTGGGCTGTCTGTCTGGGACTCCAGCTTGTCGCTACTCTTGCGGCCCGGTTTTTCTTCTTTCTTTCTCCCAAGGGAGGGACGGGAGTGGTGCATGCCGTCAATGCAACCGCAACCTTGCAACCGTGCAACCCGGGCGGGCTGAATTCCCCGGGCTTCCTTGGAGCGCTTTCTTGCCGCAGCTCGTGAGGTCTGTGCGGTGGCGGGTCCGCCGTCGGCGGAAATACAACGGTGAACTCACGGTGAAACTCAAGAGTGTGCTCAAGAGGAAGACGCCCAAGGGTGGGTGGGCGACGGTCGTTAGCAGCACACTCCTTCCTTTCCGCGAATGAAATAAATCCCTGAGAGAGAGAGAGAGAGAGAGAGAGAGAGAGAGAGAGAGAGAGATTTGAAAACCAAACAAGAAATCACGACTCTCACAGTGATTTGGGCTCGGCAGCTTGTTAGCCCTCAGCCGAAGCTGGGGCCGGTCCCGTAGCCGAGAGAGCCCGCGCCGATGAGTTCGACGCGGTCGGGGGCCTTGCGGAGAGGCCAGCGAGATGGCGATCGCTATACTTCATGGTGCCCTCGGTGGGGCGGCTGACAAGCCAGAGGTCGATACTCTGGACGACCCATAGGATGCCACGAATGCCTGAAGGAGAGGGAGGCGAGGCCAGAGGCAGGCTCAGCTGCTCTCGGGTGATCTCGCTTTGGTGGCTGAAGGACCCGATGGTCCTGTCACATTCGCGTTCCGAGTCGTGGGGGTAGAAGAATTCGAGGTAGAATCGAGTCAGCACATCCTTGTAGTACAGCGGACCGCCAGGCTCGCCGGCAGTTTCTTTCTTGTGAGAGAGTGAGAGAGATATTTTTAGCAATACCAAACTTAGGGTACCCCTAGGGTTCTGAGGGCCGGATTTTTTTAAGACCTTTTAAGGAACGAGGAGGTTTGGGGGCTCAAATTGTCATTTAAGAGATTGCAGGCACGGGGGGTCCCTCTTTTAAGTCCGTTTAAGAAAATCGGCCTCACCGGCACGCGTCGCTGGGTTCCGCGCCGGTTTCTCCAATACTGCCGTTATTAGGCACAAACCCGCCACTGAAGACTTAGGACCCCTAGGGGTTCTGAGGGCCGGATTTTTTTAAGAGCTTTAAGGTTGCTCCCGGCCCAGTGGGGATTTTGGCTTACTCAGTGATCGTCTAAGGGGCGCTAACTGGCTGGAGCGGCCGCACTCTGCTCGCTACCCCCCCTGCACAACTAAGCTCATCCCTGCTGCTAGGGGGGGGGGTCTGACCCCCCCAGCAGCAGAGCGCTCCTGCTGGGGGGGGGGTCCCGACCCCCCCAGCAGCAGAGCGCTCCTGCTGGGGGGGGGGGGTCCCGACCCCCCCAGCAGCAGAGCGCACTGGACCCAGCTCTCCCGCCTCCTCCGCTCGCCGCCGCCCCCCCTCTCCGCCCTCGGTTCGTGTTTAAGCGGTACTCGTACGCTCGAGGCGGTTGTGTTCGCCGCGCCTTCGAGCCCAATACACCTCGCGAGAAAGCGCTGCGCGGTACTCGGCAGTGTCGCAGTGTCGAGCAACACTCGGTGTCAGAGCGTCGCGCCTCCATCAGTAGTCTCATCGTCGAGTGATTGCTGGCCTGTGGCGTATGACCTCGCGCGGATATCACCAACGACGAGCATGCGAAGATAGGGAACAATATCTTGTACAGCCCGCTGTGCTCCCCGCTGTGCCACGGCGTACGATGGGCTGCGAGAGCCGTATCTTCCCTCCTTGACGCAGAGGCGCCGCGAGGCACGAGAGGCGTAGAAGAGAGGCTGGCGTGCCCCGCACCTCCCGGTTGGCAGTAGGAGGGCCCGCCGGTGAGACCACTGATTTTGATGCCGACTATAAATTCTCGCCACTGGAACGCATGCTACTTACAGCTGCTGTCTGTACAGAGATGCCAGCACCCCCCACAGGCAGAGCGCTCCTGCTGGGGGGGGGGTCCGGACCCCCCCAGCAGCAGAGCGCTGCTGCTTGGGGGGGGGTCCCGACCCCCCCAGCAGCAGAGCGCTGCTGCTGGGGGGGGGGTCGGCCATGAGCTTAGTTGTGCAGGGGGGGTAGCGAGCAGAGTGCGGCCGCTCCTGCAATGCCATATCTTTTGTGCCTAGCTTGTAGAGCACCTTAAGAAAGTACTTTGTCTTGGAGGGAAAAGTTTTTCGATGAGGTGGGGATCCGTGGTGAGCCGATTCCCAGATTCTCCAGATTCCCCCTCGAAAACCGCGCCTTTTAATTCACTGCGGCCGCGGGCTTTCTCGGATTACTTTTCACTCGAAGACAAAGTAGTTTTTTGTTGTTGCGGTGCCTACAAAAAATATCCGAGATCATATGGAGCTCACCACAGGGTTTGCGGCGATCACTGTCCTACCAGCGGGCACAGTGGGCCGCGGACACCCGTGAATGACCTTAAGAAATGAGGAGGTTTGGGGGCTTAAATTGCCATTTAAGAGATTGCAGGCACGGGGGGTCCCTCTTTTAAGACCGTTTAAGAAAATCGGCCTCCCCGGCATGCGTCTCGGCTCTCGCTGGGTTTTCCGCGCCGTTTTCTCCAATACTGCCGTTATTAGGCACAAACCCGCCTCTGAAGACACATCTGTAAGTCTGGTGCACTGACAGGAGCCATACTCGCATAGGGGACGTGCTAGCTGACTGTAGCCAGCTTCCCGGCCTCCGGCGTGTCTACTGGGAGCCTCCCGGACCATCGACCTCGGGAGCTCTCCCGCACCGTTTAAGCGTTTAAGACCGTTTAAGGAATCGGCGGCCCAGCAGCTCTTAAAACCGGCCCGGGCCGGTTTTAAGCCGTTTAAGCCGCAGGCGCCCCAGGGCCCACCCTTTTAAGCCTAGGGGTCCCCTAAGACTGAAGACGCATCTGTAAGTCTGGTGCACTGGCAGGAGCCATACTCGCATAGGGGACGCGTGCCAGCTGACTGTAGCCAGCTTCCCGGCCTCCGGCGTCTACCGGGGAGCCTCCCGGACCATCGACCTCGGGCGGGAGCTCTCCCGCACCGTTTAAGCGTTTAAGACCGTTTAAGGAATCGGCGGCCCAGCAGCTCTTAAAACCTGCCATGGCAGGTTTTAAGCCGTTTAAGCCGCAGGCGCCCCAGGGCCCACCCTTTTAAGCCTAGGTACCCTAAGATACCAAACAACTGTTCTCTAACACTCACACAACATTTGTGTGTTTGTTTTGTGTTTGTGTCTGTGTGTGATGTCTCCTTCCTGGATAGATTCTAGCTCTTCCCTCCATAAGATAAGGCCACTTCCCTCCATAAGTGATGGAGGTGTTCAATGATAGGGGAGAACTAGAGATTGAGGGGGAGGTTGGAGGTAGAATGGAGGTAGAAATGGAGGTGCAAAAAAAGGCCAAAAAAGAAGAAACAGTCGCGCGCGCCAAGGAGCCCGACCGCGAACGAGTCGCCCGACAATCATGTGGGCCTCCCTGGGCTCGCTCGGCGACGGCGTTGTCTTTGACACGCCGGTTACTTCACCGGTCAAGAGCCCCAAGAAGCGGCCCGCCGAGTTTCCTTTGCCGCCGGTCGAGACGGAGACACAGGCGGCGCAGTCCTCGATGCTCACCCCGTCCGCCTTCGGGCAGCTGTACTCGACGACTCTGCTGGTGCTCATCGTGGCGGCGACGGCGTCAATCGCAACGAACCGCATCTCGGAGGTGCTCTTCGTCATGCTCGGCCTCTACCTGCTCTGGCGCGGCCTCCTCTCCTCCTTTCTGCCCAACCTGCTCGCGCCGGTGAGCGCCGCGGCCGCCACCGCCACGCCACCGCTTCCCGAGCACGCGCCGCAAACCCGAGCAGGCAGAGATGCCACCGCCCTGCGCGCGCGCCATCTCGCACCCTCCCCTCCTCCTCCCTTCCGCAGGGACCCGGAACCTTTGGGTGGCTGGCGCGCAAGCTGCTCCGCAGGCGCAGCGCCTTCCCACACCGCTCCCTCTCGGACTGCACGCGCGTGGGCCGTCCCCTTGCCTCCGCCTCGCGCCGGCGTGTGCAGCGCGAGACGCGCTCTCGCCCGCGGGCGCCGCATCGCCCATTCCTCCGTGGGCCCCGCGAGCGGCCGCGGGGCGCGAGGGACAACAAGGGGGTGGAGGCGGAGGCGAGGGCCCTGGCGCGGCCTGCTCAGCCCTCACCCTCGCGCTTGCCCTCCAAGGATCAACTACCCGACCATCGACTCGGCGGTCGAGCTCCTCGCCCCCTCCGACGGCGAGACGGTCATCGAGATTGGCTCGGGCGACGGGCGTGGCGTCCACTCTATCCTGCGCCGCTGCACGCCCGGCCAGCTGCATGCGGTCGAGTGGCACGAGACGTACATCCAGGAGCTGCGCGCTGACCCCCTCCTTCGCGAGAAGAAGGTCCAGCTCCACGAGTGCGACGCTCGCTCCTTGCCCGTGCCCGACGGCAGCGCAGACAAGGCGGCCCGGCCCCGCCGCAGCAGGGCCCGCCTCGCTCTCTCCCTCAGCCGGCATGCCTCAGCCCGCGTGCCGCCGCGCAGGTGCTCGCAGTCAACTGCGTCTACTTCCTCGAGCCTCTCGACGAGTACTTCCGCGAGCTCTACCGGGCGCGCGCCGCCCCACCCTGCCCCGCGCCCCCGCGCCCCCGCAGGCTTACCTGAACCAGCTTATTTGACCGACGGGCTAATTACAAGTGTTATTGGCCGCAGTCGGCACGTTTTTTTTTTTTTT